CCACCAATCTGACACACGCAGAGTTCCACAGTTAGTCATTCCTTTGAGTTTAAGGCTTTGATTGCTAAAGGCCCCGATTGCTAAAGGCCCCTGGAGATCAGAGTCTTACCTGGAAGATTGGTGGCTGGTTGATTCCCTTCAGTTATCAGGTCAGTGACTTATCCCCTGGCCTGCAAGAGAGCATAGGGTGGAGAGCAGGAGATGACACAGGGAAGCAGAGAGAAGGTGATGTACAGCTTTTTGAAGATCAAGAGGCTCTCAAGGAAGTTCCGGCTGTGGTCCTGGTCTGGAGCCGGGTGATGGGCACCAGAAACCCTGAGCTGCTGCCTCGCTCTGCTTCTGTCTCCCTTGTTCTTTTTTTTTGGCTGCACCGTGCGGCTTGCAGGATCTCAGTTCCCTGACCAGGGATTGAACCCGGGCCACAGCAGTGAAAGCCTGGAATCCTAACCACCAGGCTATCAGGGAACTCCCCTGTCTCCCTTGTTCTGTGCCTTGGGCCAGTGGTACGGCCTCTCCGGCCTCTGTGCCTCCCTCAGCTTAGTGACTATTCCCTTCCCTTCCACCTTGACCTGTGGGGTTCCAGAGGGTGGCGAGGCTGCAGGCTAATTCCTGGGCCCCGCACGGGCCTTTCCTCTTCCTCTGGTGAGGGTGTGAGGGGGGACTGGTGATTCAGGTGGGGCACGACTGTGGGAGGAGACTCCTGCCTGATGTGGTTGGGCCTCCAGTCCGAGGCAGGCCTGGCTCCTGCCCCACGCTCGGGCCTCCCTGGCTGCCTGACTCAGGCACTCCCTGCTGGGCGCAGCATTCCTGCCCTTCTCAGAGCCCGCCTCACTGCCTGCTCTCAAAGGGCTCCTTGAGGTTAGGATTCAAGGCCCGTCAGGTCGCTGGGTCAGCTTGGAAGGCTGTCCCTGCCCAGACCAGACTGTGGGGTCCATCCCTTGTTGCTCCCTTCACAGGTAACGACACTGCCCCCGATCCTAGCCACCACTCCACCCTCCCCCTGAGCAGCCCTCTTTCACAAGTAATGAGGATATGGGGTTGGCGAGGACCAGATGGGGACAGCACCCAGAGTGAATGAGGAGGAATGATGCTCCACCAGGCAGACCTGCTTTAGGAAAACCCACTCCATAGAAGTTCACACTTGTCCCAGCCAGTCGGTTGCTGGGATTGTGCTGGGAGGGTGGGGGGCATGAGAGGAAGGTCTGATTCGTTCCAACAGGATCAGAGCCCCATGGATGGCCCGGCTGGGGGCCTGTGATAGGGGAGGACAGCCCCTCACACCCAGCCATCTTCTCGACCCTCATTTCTGGTGGGGCTGGGGCTGGGCCTTGTTGGTCCTGCCACTGTGAGGAAGGTGGGGGCTTCGGGGGCCATGGAATCTAGCTGGGTATGGGGCAGCCTGATTGTGCCCTTTCTTGGTCCAGAAGGAGCCAGGATTGGCTCAGAATCACATGGGGGTGGGGTGGAGGCTTGTGCTTGGCCCGCCCCTGGGGCCATGCCCACCCCATATGTCCCTAGCCCCCTCCCCTGCCTGAACCCCTGGTTATTCTGGGAACTTTTAGCTCCCACTTAGCCAGCCACTAATGCGTCAGGCCGGGGAGTGAGGGGGGAGACACGGTGCCAGACGGTGCTCCTTTTAGACATCCAGGGTGGAAAGCAGAGGGGGGGCTGGTCAGGCAGGGGGACCTAGGGGGTGATGCTGGAAGAGAGGAGGCTTTCTGGATCCTGGCCCTGCTCATAGATAGGAGAGGGCAGCTCCGCAGACTGACAGGCAGTGGGTTGGTGTATCCTTGGGCCGCTGCAGCTCCCTTCCCCCATCACACTCGGGGCTTCAGCCCGCCTTCCTGATTCTTCTCTCATTAGGTCTCTGTACCCACCGTACGGTCAGCTTCCCCAGCTTCCCCACCGTTGCTTAGGCTGTTTCCACTGCCCAGAATTCTCTTCCTGCCTGTTTCTGACCCATCTAGCTTTGGTCCGCCTTCCCCATCCTTTTGGATTCCTAAGGAAGCAAAAAGACGCATTTAGGGATGCGGCACTTGCTCCCTTGGCTGGGCCTCTTTAGGAGCAGCCCCCAGCCTTGCTCAGCCTCTGCGTGGGTGGAGCCTTGAATGCCACCCCCTCCCCTCTTGGTGCCAAGGGGCCACAGATCCTGGCTGTGAAGGCTTGGTTCTGCCTTCACTTCCAGGCAGCCCTCCTGCCCCTGAGCTCCCAGCCCCCGGCTCCTGTGACCTGAACAAAGCTTCCTTTCATGTATTCATTGAGCTGCTGCCGCTCAGACACTTCCCGGGCACAATCAGGCCCTTTGAGGGCCTCGGGCAGTACAGGAGCCGGGCTGGGGCTGGGGTAGAGAACGGGCCAAGGCCTCGTCCTGGGGCCGAGCTGGTGCCATCTCCCCCATGCACATCACCAGGCACAGAGCCGGGAGGGGCGGGTGCTTCGGGGTTGAGGGAGGCAATGCTCCTGGGCTCCTGTTTGTTCTTCTGCAAAATGAGGTGAGCAGTCGCTTCCTCCCTCCATATCCTGACCCTGGCAGCCACAGCCAGGATTTGAGGGGAACAGGGCTCATACTTGCAGACCTGTGCAGGACTGTCCTGGCTGGAAAGCCCCCGACGCTGCACGCAGCAGCAGGCAGCCCTCCCCCTCCCTTTGTGTTCTTAGCAATGCTTGGTGAGCAGCTCTGGGGTCTGTACCAGCACAGTTCTGCTTGAGTGGTATGGAGGCTTGCTTTGGTAGGACAGTTTCACCTCTCCAACTGGATTCCAGGGTAGGGCCGGGCCTCCCCCTCGGGCCTTGCTCTCTGGGGCCAGGCTGGGTCTCTCCCGTCAGACTAGACTTCCCAGGGCAGGACTGCATCTCCTCCTCACTTTGACGGCCCTGTGACCCCAGACAAGGGCTCCCTCAGGGCCCCTTCACGTACCCCTTTCTCCACCACTAGAGCTGTGCATTGGCTGTGCAGGCCCCTCTTCTGAGGCCTGGGGTTGTGGCCTTGATGTGAGCCGAGGTGACTGTTTGGAGGTGGCCAGCATGACCTGAGCCGTGGGGCTCCTCCCCTGTGGCCTCTGGAGGGCTTCAGATCTCAAGCCCCAGCCCAACATCTTCAGACACAGACATATAGCTTTTCCCAGCCGCCTGGCTGTCTGGGGGAGTAGGTGGGGAGCTGGGGCTACAGACTGTCTAGATTCCAGGCTAGGCTGTGGGAACAGTGGCCGCTGCTCAGGCTGCGGGTGAAGGGGGAGCTGGAGTCATGGAGCTGAGTCAGGAAGGCCTTGTGTCTGTCCCCAGCACTCTTAATTTTATCCCAGCTGGTGGGGAGGGGGAGCCTGGGGTGTGAGACGTATCAGCCCTGCCCGAGCCTTGGCCAGCACCACACCCCTACCACCCAGCAGGAAGTGGGCTGTCAGCTCCCACCTTGTGCAGCCCTGGGGTCCTGGGAGGCCTGACGTCCTAAGCTGTCAGGCTATTTGCGGAGCACTGGCGGAGACCCAGGTGAACCCGAGGGCAGTGAGCTCAGCACTTCTCTGTGGCCTGTGGTGCTGGCATCTCCCTGAACGCACCTGAGAACCATTACTCAGTCTGGATGAGCCAGTCTCTCCTGCCTCCTAGTGCGACCTTGGGCTAGAGTATCCCTGAAGGCCCTCCGTTTCTGCGTCTGTACAGTGAGCTGGGCCACAGCTGAGGTGGAGGGTAAGAATAGCCCACTTCCAGGGATGACTTGGCCATGCGGGGGTGTATCTTAAGGAAAGGAAAGGGAATGCAGGTGGGGGTCGCGTGGTAGGTCGTGCTCTTCGTCCCTGCTGAATGCAGCATCAGTAGGAATGGTTCAAGTGGCACCGAGGAGAACTGGGGGCAGACTCAAGGACATGGCAGTTCTGTTCTCTCTGGGCTTGGAGGTGTCCTGCTGGGATGTCCCTGCTAAGCTGGCTGCCCCTGAGTTTGCTGCAGCTGAGTGAACAGTGGTCAGGCTGAGGACCCAGGCTGGTCCGAGGTGGGAAGATGGCTGATTGCTGGGGGCACAGCCACAGGCTGTCCCATTCCTGTAATTTAGCCCTGCAACCAGGACAACCTCAGCAGTGTCACCGGAGATGAGACATCTCCTCTCCGGAGGCAGTGGCTACAGGCAGCAGTTTCTATTTTGGGAAAAATTGTCCCGGTCAGCCCTTCTGCTTAAAGGCCCAGGCTGTGCTCTGTGAAGGGCCCCGTGTCCCAGAGTTGTTGGGGAGGGAGGGCTGATCTTTTCCCCCGGGGTGAGCTGGGATCTCTGTGAAACCAGGCCAGGGCAGGCCAGGGTGCAGAGTCCAGCTTGGGGGCAGGAGCTCTGGTTCCTGGCCTGCTACTGACCATGTGAGCTTGGGCTGCCCCTCTCTGGACCTCTGTTTTTCCATCTTTAAAATGGGAGAGAGTGGACTTAAGATTCCTTTCCAGCTCTGATCTGTACTGACCTGCTCACTAAGGGGATGGAGTGGGCTGGGAAGGGTCAGAGAGGGCTTCCTGAAGGAGGGGATAGGGTTCTGAGCAAAGTGATTCCTGGGAACCTGAACTGTACGTGGGGTTCTTAGAGGCAGGGGGTGGAAGTGGCTGCTTGCTCTGTCCTAGATAGCAGAGAGCCTCAGAGCAGAGTTGGGAGCCCTGGTCCCTCCGGCCCAAGCCCAGCCCCTTAGGAACAGCAGTGTGTGTGTGTGTGTGTGTGTGTGTGTGTGTGGGGGGGGGGGGGTGGGGGTGGGGGTGGTCTGTTCTCCCCAGGGGTCCCTAAATTCTGCCCCCACTCTGAGGTCACACATATTGTAGGGTAGGGGTCATGGCTTTGGGGTGAGGACATCTGGTTGCTGGACCCCGCCAGAGGACCCCTGTCTTCTCCCGCTCACAGCTCTTGAGTTCAGGCGCCGCCCTAGCCAAATCCAAGCACTAGTTGCTCGGGGGATGCCGGTATGCTGGGGGGGGTGGCCAGGATCTTCCAGCCCAGGGTCCAGCCTCAACGTTTCTGCCAATTGTTTCTTCCTTAGGCCATGCAGGGCAGGACCATGTGGACTTTGGCCTGGCCGAGCCGCACACGGTGCTTTTCCACGAGCCGGGCAGCTCCTCCGTGTGGGTGGGTGGACGCAGCAAGGTCTATGTCTTCGACTTCTCCAAGGGCAGGAACGCCTCCATGCGCACAGTGAGCCTGGACCCCTCTCCCTGCCCCCTTTTCTCTTCCCCCTTCCCCATCTTCTTATCTCCCCTCTGGCCTTGGAGAGGAGCCTCAGGGAATCCGGGGGAACTGGCATTTCTTCCAGAACTGGTCAACCCCCTATTATATCCCATAAATGGTCCCTGGGGGAGGCTCCCTGAGGGTGGTCCCAACTGGCGTGGGTGTTGGGGCAGTGTGGAGAGAAGCGCAGAGCTAACACGCCTGGCTGGGCGGGTAGCGCCGACTGCGGAGGCCTAGCAGGAAGCTGGGCTCCAGAACCCCATGGCCCCTGTCTTCTGAGATCTCTGGGCTGGCTCATGAGCTCTGGGCTTTGGCTCCGGGTATCAGGCTGAGCAGCCTGTGTGATGTTGGGTAAATCACTCCTCCTCTCAGAGCCCTAGTTGCTCATCTGTCAAATGAGCCTATCCTGAGGATGCACGGAAAGCACTTACGGGGGCGTCTTGCCCCTGGCAGAGTGGACTGACGCTCCCCCTGTTCCCCTCAGGTGAACATTGTCTCCACGAAGGGGTCCTGCCGGGACAAGCAGGTGAGTGGGGGAGAGGGAGTGCAGAGGGGAGGCTGGGCCCCTTGGAAAGGTTCCTGAGAATCTGAGGAAGGAGGCCTGGCCCTGTCTTGGGAGCCCCAGTCCGGGAGGAGAGAAGTAGCCCTGCCCCAGGGTTCCCAGTCTGAGGGGGAGACACTCCTTCCCCGAGGCCCTTCCTCTGGCGTCAGCTGCACCCGCTCTGGGCCCTCCTTAGAGGCCGCCTCCTGTGCTCAGACTTCTGATGCTTTCTTCCCCAAGACCGAGGGTCCCAGTGCTAGGCCTGCCAGGGCCTCCCACCAACCAACCTCTCTCCTTCCCCTCCTCCCGAGCAGGACTGCAAGAACTACATCACGCTCCTGGAGAAGCAGGGTGAGGGCTTGCTGGTCTGCGGCACCAATGCCCGGCGCCCCAGCTGCTGGACCCTGGTGAGAAGGCCCCTCCCCCTGTGCCTGGTCAGCTCACCCTTGTCCGATGGGCTTCTGCTCCCCATGGTGGGAAGGAGGTGGGGGGACTCTGAGGCTGGCCTGACCTTGTACAGAGTTCCTGGGAGGATGGGGACCCTGGCTGGGCAGCTGGCACCCATGGGAGGCAGTGACCGTGGGATCACATGGCAGGGATCACACCGTGGGATCACCTTTGGTCTCCCCCAGGTGAATGACACTGCAGAGTTGCTTGGTGAGAGGAGAGGCTATGCCCCCTTCAGCCCGGATGAGAACTCCCTGGTTCTGTTTGATGGTAGGGCTGTGGCTGGCGCTGGAGGGTTCCCAGAGGGCTGCTGCCCTGGGCAGGGGGAGGGTGGTCACCTCTGTGCCTGGTGACCCAGGTCCGGGGGAGGGACTTCCAGGGCCTGTGTGTCCTTACCCGTGCTCCTCCCACTGTGCCCAGGCTCTGAGGTGTACTCCACTATCCGGAAGCAGGAATACAATGGGAAGATCCCTCGGTTCCGCCGTATCAAGGGTGAGATTGAGCTGTACACCAGTGATACTGTCATGCAAAGTGAGTCAGGCTCCAGCTGGGCTGGGCTGGGCTGGGCTGGGCTGGGCTGAATGAGGCGGTGTGAATGCTCAGGGCGGCAGATGGGATCCTCATGTTTATGGGGAGGCTCCCCTAGGGCCGCTAGGGCCACAGGCCAGTCGGGAAAGCGGGAGCTTCGTACAGCCCTGGGAAGATAGAGCTGAGGAGGTTGGCCTGGCAGGGAGCAGGGGAACAGCAGAGAGAAAGATGTGGAGGCAGGATGGGCCCAACACCCTCTGGGAACAAATCAGAGGAAAGCCCAGACCCAGTGTGGAGTCCCCGGGTGCCATAGCGTATCCCTCTGCTGAGCTCACATGGGGGCAACACCCACTCCCTCCTCATTAGGGCTCTGCCAATTAGTCAGAAGTGACATAGGGGCCCCTAGGTCTCTCCCCCCAGTCCCTAGGCCTGAAGTCATTGCTCCTGGGCCAATGACATCTTTGTAAGAGAGGGCAAAACAGGTGTGGGGTGCGAGTGCAGAGTCTCAGGCCCTTTGGGGTGTTAGATCTGTTTTTCTGAAGTTTATTCCAGGTGTGATTTGACGCGGGTTTGTTTGTGCAGACTCGGGGGGTGGGCAGGGTGTGGGTGGGTCCTTTGAGAGGCTCCCCGCCTCACGCCCTTTCACTTCTGTCCCCGGTAGACCCGCAGTTCATCAAGGCCACCATTGTGCACCAAGACCAGGCCTACGATGACAAGATCTACTACTTCTTCCGAGAGGACAACCCTGACAAGAATCCCGAGGCCCCTCTCAACGTGTCCCGAGTGGCCCAGCTGTGCAGGGTGAGCAAGTGCTGAGTGGGCAAGAGTGTGTGTCTGTGCCTAAACAGGAGCGAGTGAGCGTGTGGCTGCCTGTGTGCAAATGTGCAAGCGAGTCTGTATGGGACTGTGGGAGGAGGTGTGCACGCACAGGAGTGCCCCTGCGCCTGTGAGTGGGTAAAGATGGTTGGGCTCATGTGCACGTGTGATAGCGTGCAAATGTGTGTATTCGTGGAGAGTGTGCGTGAGCGTGTGCGTGCGAATGGGAGTGCATTGACGTGTGTGTGTTTCCCCCGTGTGGAGGTGCTGGGTTGTGCAGGTCTGTGTCGTGTGTGTGAGCGTGCACGTGTGAGAGCGGGCAGACGTGTGTCTGAGCCGGTGTGCTCTGTGGGGACCTGGTACCCGCACCCTGCAGGTCCCTGCTGTGAGCCCTGTGCCCTGGGTCAGCCAGGCCTGCCTCCTGGAGCCTGGCCCAAGAACCTGGCCTGAGTGGTGGGGTACCTCAGCCTCGTCCCCTCGCAGGTCCCGACCCCTTTCAGGGCCTCCCTTCCTCCTCAGAAGCCTGGGTGCTGGCATTCCCGGCAGCAGGTGCCCGGCTGTGCGGGGCAGCCCAGGCAGGTGCTGAGGGACCTCCTCTCCCCTCCACCCTTCCAGGGGGACCAGGGTGGAGAGAGTTCACTGTCCGTCTCCAAGTGGAACACCTTCCTGAAAGCCATGCTGGTGTGCAGCGATGCCACCAGCAACAAGAACTTCAACAGGCTGCAGGACGCCTTCCTGCTCCCTGACCCTAATGGCCAGTGGAGGGACACTAGGGTCTATGGCGTTTTCTCCAACCCCTGGTGAGTGGCCCATGTCCTGGTGCCGGGGCTGGCATTAGTTAAGTGTCCAGTGGGGATCAGAGGGTTTGGGCCCTGCCCAAGGGAGGGCTGGCGTGGTAAGAGCAGGGACCCTGGCTCAAGGGACAAGGCTGTTGCTGGGCCTGGGGTGGGTGGACACACAGTGCTCAGGGACATGTGTGTGCCGGCGTGTTTGTGAGTCTGTACACATGGGTGTGTGCGCACGCGCCGTATGCATGCTCATGGCTGCACCTGTGCCTGTGTGCCCGCCAGCTGTGTACTCAGAGCGGTGCCTGGGAAAAGGCTGCTGCGGCCTCTGGGGTGCTGGGTGCCGGGTGCCATCACACCCGCTCAGGCACTGCCTGCGCCTGACAATTCACACCCCTTAATCACTCTCATTGATTGAAAACAAGGCAGGCAAAAAGTGTCAGGTGTGTGTGTGGGGAGAGGTGGGGGGCAGGGTAGGGAAGCCAAGACCCTGCTCTGGGGCTCCTGTGTGCATGGACCCAGCAGTCGGGGAAGGGGATGGAGGTCTGGCCTCCTTGGGCATCAGCATTCCAAGGATGCACGTGTTGGGATTTCTCCTGCCCTGGGGTTGGCCTCTGAACTCAGTGATTCTGTGACAGAATACAAGATGTGGTTTTACATTGCAACAGCAAGAAATTAGGTTGAACTTCCCTCCCTCCCTCTTCCCGTCCTCCCTCCCTCCTTCCTTCAATGGTTTTTGGTAATGCTCAGGCACTGGCCTTGGCCCCCAGGATAATCCCTGCCCTCATGGAGCTCAAAGGCCAGGGAGCTTGGTCGGAAGGCTGCAGTTGTACCCCATCTGGTGCTGGGCTCGCCTGGGTGAGTGGAGGTGGGTGGGTCCTGGGCCTCCCACTGAGGTGGCCTGTGTGTCCCCCAGGAACTACTCTGCTGTCTGCGTGTACTCCCTCGGTGACATTGACAAGGTCTTCCGCACTTCCTCACTCAAGGGCTATCACTCAGACCTTCCCAACCCACGGCCTGGCAAGGTGAGCGGTGACACCCACCATGGCCCAGGCCCCAGTCCCATCGCCCAGCCACCCCACTGATCTGGACCTGTTCTCCTTTCCCAGTGCCTCCCAGACCGGCAGCCGATACCCACAGAGACCTTCCAGGTGGCCGACAGTCACCCTGAGGTGGTGCAGAGGGTGGAGCCCACGGGGCCTCTGAAGACGCCACTGTTCCACTCTAAGTACCACTACCAGAAAGTGGTTGTCCACCGCATGCACGCCAGCAACGGGGAGACCTTCCATGTGCTTTACCTAACCACAGGTGAGGGGCTACCCGGGACCAACCCCTCCTGCCCACCCCCACTCCGCCCCGGGTCTGCTTTGTAAAAATGGGTATAAAGAATAATGTAGTTAACATCTGGTTGGGAGAATTGAGTGACTAAGAGCTGTCAGGAGTTAATGTGTGTGGCTGTGGAAGAGTCAGGCAGTGAGAGCTTCCCGGAGGAGGTGGGGCAGAAGGGAGAGGGAAAGGCATCGTAGGCTAGAAGGTGCCAGGATTCAGAGGCAGAAATGTTGTAAGTCTGAGCAAAGCTGGGTATAGCTTTGGTCCAGCTGTCTGACTCCTGAAGATGGTAGGAAAAGATGTGGAAGTCAGGAGGAAGGACCTGGTCCAGGGTGTCCTGTGGGCCTCTGCCACGCAGAGCGAGGAAACTGGACCCTCTCCCTGTCTTTGGGATTATGCAGATGAGAGGAAACTTTTGATGTGGGATGCAAAGAATTTAGTGAGATGTGACGAAGGACTTCCAGATGGCAGGGCCTTTGCAGAGAGATACTATTCTGGAGTCTGCAGCAGGAAGGATTGGGGCTGGATATGAAATAGACCTTTCTGAGCCCTCTGCAGAGAATGGGAGGCTCTCACGGCTGGGAGAAGCCATGGGAGGCTGTCACCACGCTGTGTGGAGGAGGTGAAGGGCAGTGTGTGTATGAAGGTAGTGACTGGGCTGGGAGCTTGTCGGGCCGGAGGGGCAAGGGGCCACATCCCAGAGCCTGCAGAGGCGGGTCACAGACACATAGAGGAAAGGTCCTAGGCAGGCAATCATCTGATCATCTGACTGCTTTTTTGGGGCAAGTGATACCCTGGGAAATTGGGAGGGAGCAAAAGGGAGGTAGGCTATTCTAGAAACTGGGACAGCCCGTGAGGTCGGATTGGGAGGACCCAGGGGTCAGGATGCCCATTAGTCCCCGATAAGTGTGAATGGAGAGAGCACTGGCCTCTGAGGCAGGCAGCCTATTGTGTGACCTTGGGTTCCCCTATGCTGGACCTGAGGTCCTTTTCAGATCTAAGATTTTATAAAAATTTTAAAATCCCCTAAGACTGCATGCAATGTGGAATCCTGGATTGGATCCTGGAACAGATGAAGGACATTAGTGGAAAAACCCGTGAAATCCCAGTGAAGTCTGTAGTCGATTTAATAATTATGTACCAGTGACAACTGCTCAGCTGTGACAAAGATCACAGTTATCTAAGAGGAAACATTAGGGGAAACTAGACGAAGGGTATACGGGAACTCTTTGTACTATCTTTGTAACTTTTCTGTAAATCTGAAATTATTTCAGAATAAAAAGTTTATTTTAAAGACAACAAATCCCGAAGAGTCCAGGAAGCAGAGGGGTTTATAGAAGAAGTTGAGGGGTAGAGTTCTGACCCCTCTGGGTTCCAGTCACCAGCTGTGTGACCTTGAGCAAGTTGCTTAGCCTTTCTGAGCCTCATTTCCTTATCTTCGAAGTGGGGATGATAATACCCACCCCCCAGGGGTGTGGAGGATTAAACGAAGTAATGCTAATGCATGTAGCTGGAGGCTTAGCAGTGCTTGGGCATGTGAGACTGCTGGTTCTGTTCTCCATGCTCCAGCTTCCCCTGCGGCCTTGGGGAGCCCAGGGCCTCCTGCGATAGCCTCCCTGGCCCAGGCTTGGAAGCTTCCTGCGATGCCTTTGGGCTCTTAAGACCCTCCCCAGTCATGCTGTCCTCTCCCCATCCCACCCCAGTCCTATGACCCTTGCCTGAGCCATGACTTCCCAGCCCTCCCCACGGGCATCTTTCCTGGTCAGCTCAGCCCAGAGGGAGGCTGCCTGGCTCTGTGGTGGGACTCCCGCCTGCTGACCCTCTGCCTCTCACCTACAGACAAGGGCACCATCCACAAGGTGGTGGAGTCGGGGGAACGGGAACACAGCCTTGTCTTCAGCATCTTGGAGATCCAGCCCTTTCACCGTCCGGCCACTATCCAGGCCATGTCACTGGACTCTGACCGGGTGAGCCTCCCCAACCAACCCCTGCCCTATGGGGCTGCCCGGGGATGGCCAGGTGAGGACAGAGCTCCTCTGCGTGTGATTTGCATGTCCTTTGCTGGGTCTCTGGGCCCCAGGGTCTGCCAGGCAGCTGGACCAAAGCTTAGGGGCTTAGAACTCAGTTGGGATGGGGGCCCCGACCTGACTCAGTCCTTTTCTCTTTCCAGCGGAAACTTTATGTGAACTCCCAGTGGGAGGTGAGCCAGGTGCCCCTGGACCTGTGTGAGGTCTACAGTGGGGGCTGCCATGGCTGCCTCATGGCCCGAGACCCCTACTGCGGCTGGAACCAGGACCGCTGCGTCTCCATCTACAGCTCCCCAAAGTCAGAGTATGTTGGCTGGGATCCCTTGTCGCTAGGAGACAGCGAACACAGCAGTGGGGGTTGATGGGCTGCAGGAGGCGGCCCTTCTGGCCAGACCCTCCCCTGGGTGGGCACCGCTGCTGATGCTGGGTGGGGAGGAGGACAGGGAAGGGGCCAGGCCTGTGGCCTCCTGTCTGCTTAGCCTCTCTCTTCCTTCCAACTCCAGGCCAGTGCTGCAGTCCATCAATCCAGCCGAGCCACACAAGGGGTGCCCCAACCCAAAGCCAGGTACATGACCTGGCCCTGCCCCCATCCCATTAGGATGGTACCGCCGTGCCCTGATTGCCCTGTCTGAGGGAGGCCTGGTCTGGTCCTGGGGGCTCCAGACAGATGGGCAGGACAGTCCTGTGGAGGGAGCCCCGTCGGTGTGGGGTGGTTGTGAGAGGAGTGGGGTGAGGGCAGCAGGGGAGAGTCAAGAGGAGACTGGGCGCTGGTTTCCCCGCGTTCATTCAGAAGCCTTGGCCTTGGAGGCCTATCAGTGGGGGAGGACACAGCCTGCCCTGGGAGCCGTCAGCCCCTCCTCATGGCTATCTCCCCATCCCTCCCCAGAACAAGCCCCACTGCAGAAGGTTTCCCTGGCCCAGAACTCTCGCTACTACCTGAGCTGCCCCATGGAGTCCCGCCACGCCACCTACTCGTGGCGCCACGAGAACAGTGTGGAGCAGAGCTGTGAGCCCGGCCACCAGAGCCCCAACTGCATCCTGTTCATCGAGAACCTCACGGACCTCCAGTACGGCCACTACTACTGCGAGGCCCAGGAGGGCTCCTACCTCCATGAGGCTCAGCACTGGCAGCTGCTGCGCGAGGATGGCGCCATGACCTCACACCTGCTGGGCCGCGCCCGCGCCCTGGCTGCCTCCCTCTGGCTGGGTGTCCTGCCCACGCTTACTCTTGGCCTGCTGGTCCATTAGGGCCTCCTGGGGCTGGGCATGCTGCGGGCTTCTGCAGCCCCAAGGCACTGGAAAAGTCTCACACCCAGAACCGGCTGGGCCCGGAGCTCCTTGCCCACCACTTCTTCCAGGGGAACTACATAACCCGACGGGGAACGCCAGGCCTGGAGATGGCCAGCCGCAGGCGGCTGCTGGGCCCCGGTGGGGCAGGGGTGGGTGTGGGCCAGAGAATGGAGGCTCTGACTGTGAAGCTGGCGCCTTGCTGACCCGAGACTTTATCTTTTGGAGACCATTTTTCAAAAACTGCTCCTCAAACTGACTAAATGCAATGATGCTCTTGGCCTAAGAGCCTGTGGCCCAGAGAGTGGGGTTTAAAAAGGGGAGTTGGGACCCCATCTCTGGACGTTTGGGCTGAGGCCTGAGTCCTTCTGGACTCTCTATACCCAAATTGCCCCCCTCATCCTCCCTCCTGCCATGGCTGGGGGTGGCTAGTGTTCCCGCAGGCCCAGGGCTGCCCTCTGTGGCCCCCTCACCAGCCCTGGGTCTCACTAGGCAGCTGCCTTGCATGTTTATTGAAGGATGTTTGCTTTCCGGACAGAAGGACGGAAAAAGCTCTATTTTTATGTTAGGCTTATTTCATGTATAGCTACTTCTGACTGCATCTGTATGAAATACCAAAACTGCGTGCTGGGGTGGGGTGGGGAGGGAGGGGCTGGGGAAGGGATGGGTCACGGGCAGGGGGGTCCCAGTCTGCGGCTCCCGGGAATGGGATAAGAGTCCAGGGATGGGTGTGGGTTTGGCGAGAGTGGCATGAGCTGGCTCTGCCCTGGGAGCCCAGTCTGAAGGGGACATCGTCCAAGCCCCTGATGTGGGGTGGTTATGGGAGGGGGTGGGATGAGGGAGACGGGGGAGAATGAAGGAGAAAACTGAGCGCTAGTTTCACCGTGTTCATTTTGAAGGAGGAGCCAGGTCCTCAGGGGGAGGTTCCGGGACTCTGCCCTTGGCATTGGGGGTTGGGGGGCGGGGGGGTGGGGGCCTCCCTCCCCTCCCCTCCCCTCAGCCCCCTTCCCCAGGGGCTGTGCTTCCATGCTCCTAGCCTCCCACCTTCAGCTCAGGACATGTTATAACTTAGGCTAAACTGTGAATTCCTGTAGGGACGACCTGGGCCAAGCTCTCCAGGTGGGCGGCTCTGCCCCCAGTCCTGTCCATGGATTTCAGCAGAGAGCTGGGCCCTTCTCTGGCTGTGTCTGGCCAGCCTGGGGCAGGGCCTGGGGCTAGTGGCCTTCCAGCTTCGGCCCCTGCATCTCTTCTCAATGCACTTTAATAATGTAACATATTACTAATAAACAAGCTATTTATTTACCTGTGTCTGCTGCTTGCCCTTAAAGCCATTCTGGCCAGGGGGTCAGGGGGTGAGGGTGAGGGCACCTGCTGCCCCTGGGAGCATCACACACTCTCACTGGCCCTCTGCTTAGAGCCTTAGAGCTAAGGAAACACACAGCAGGGCTCCCAGTTAGTGAGAGGCAGGAGTGGGATCTAAACCCACAGCTCCTGAGCAGGGCTCTGCGTGCCAAGCAATGACCCTGGAGCCCAGACAGCTCCTGCACCCCACCTTTCCTCACAACTCAGGAGCGGGTCTTTACCCTTCCCAGCCTCCACCCCCTGACCATTTCCCCTGGTAGGCCTGGCCATGCTAGAAACAGCCTTGGGCCTCCCTGCCTTCAAGGGGTCCATTCTGGGAGGGAAAGCTGATCAAATAAGACCCTGTGGGGGAAACCTGTGGCGATGGAAGTGTGTGGGCAGGAGGCTAGAGGGCAGGGGAGGTGGTGGTGCCTGAGTGGAGATGAGGTCCTTATTCCAGGTAGGGCCAGCAGGAAGGGCAGGGGTCAGTGTGTGTGCAGAGGGGACAGCTGGAGAGCAAGGAGGGACCAGTGGGCAGGCTTTGTGTGCTAGTCCCAGAGCTTGGCTTTTCAACCCGCAGGGCAGTGACAGGGCTGAGGTGGGATTTGTGCCTTAGAAACTCTTGAGCTCCCTCCAAGATAAAGCAAATCAAATAGATTTAGAATCCCAAAAGGTGTGTGAAAAGGAGCCCTGACTTAGGTGTGGGAGGTGGGGAGGGGAGCTTGAGGCTCTTCAGGGGGATAGTGGACAGAACTAGGACAGGACCAGGGATGGAGGGTGGGGCATCCTGCGGGGAGATGCACAGGGAAACCCAGACTTCCTTCTCTCCCCTCCCCACCCCTTTGTTCCCCTCTCTCCCGCCCCTTGTGCAGGGATCCAGGCCTTTTGAGATTTGCTGGGAGATTTTCCCGAACAGTAACTACCGGGGAGAGGGATGTGGCCGACTTGGGACAGTTCCCCTCTCTGAATCTGAGCCGAGCTTCTGGCTGGCTTGCAGACCCCACAGGGCTGGAATCGCTCCCTCCCATTCAGGCTGCCCTGTGCTCTCCTGGGCCAGCCCCACGCTGAAGGTTCTCCTTGGTTCTTTCCTCTCCCACACACTACCTTCCCAGGGTGGCCAAGGTGGCAGCAGGTGCTCAGGCCAGGAGTCTGAGAGTTTGGGGGACCCCAGTGAACTCTGGGCTGGGGGCAGAGACCTGGGGCCACCATCACCCTTCGCGATCCTGGGCAGACCTGGCCCTTCCTGAGCCTCATTCTCCTCATGTGGAAGAGGAAGGGGCTTGGCCGGGCTTCTGAGAGGCCCCTTCTTGCACACTGTACTGGGCTCTAAGACTAATTTGGTCTTTGGAAGGAGCTCAGAGTCAATGACTTGGTGAGTCAGTTTTTCCAGATCACAGCTGGGCAGCAGCGGCAGCAGCGGCCCCCTCCACAAGCCCCTCGATGGTGGGGGAAAGGGCAGAAGGAGTGGGTTCTGGGAGCCGCTAGTGGAGAAAGTGGGGCTCAAGTCCTGGCCCTGATTGCTGGGCAGCCTCCAGTGAGGTCCCTGCCCTCTCTCTGGACCCCAGGGAGTTCCCTCTTTCCTATGGGGATTCTCTCGGTGCCCCTCTGGGCCTACAGCAGGGGACATGAGGGACAGAACATACTCCTTTGTCTCCATGGAGGCACCGGGAGAGGCCTGGCGGGCAGGCGGGCCGGGAAGCCGTGTGCATCGAGGCATGAAATGAGCCCGTGTAAATCCCATGTAAATGAGCCGGCGGGGAGGGGGCAGGCCGAGCACAAGGCTGCTGCCTTGTTTTCCCCTGACAGGTAAGCAACACAGTGGGCCTTGGGGCTGGTGGGTGGGAGGACCATTAAGTTGGGCCCTGGGGGGCATGGAGATCCACAGAGTATCACGGCACCAACACCAGCCTCTTGGGGGCCAGGCCGGGGACAGGAGCCAGGCGCGTCCTTCTGTCTCCTGTCTTGTGCATCCCTCCCCAGGGGGGCACAAAAGAGAGAATGAGACTGTGAAAAACCAAAGCTCAGCTCTCCTGGAGAAGCCAGCAGGGGATGGGGCACTCCTTTAGGCCTCCCTCTACTTCATAATTCTTTTTTTTTTTTTGCGGTACGCGGGCCTCTCACCGTTGTGGCCTCTCCCG